GCCACACCCACCAAGCCATGCCACACCCACCAAGCCATGCCACACCCACCAAGCTATGTCATGCTCACCAAACCGGTAGTAAAAAAAATTGAATCCCACCACTGCCTTACTTGTCCATGACCTTCCTAAACTTTCCTCTTGCATCAGTGCAAATGTGCTTTCTTATGATTTGCATCCTTCTGCTAGTACCAGAGAGAAGTCAGTGTGCAGGACTTGATCCTTCAAAATCTTTTTCACTAGTCTTGTTTCTTTGGTAGTATCTTCTGCCGAGATCACAGAGATAATAGGAATTTTTAACTTACAGAGTTAGTCTTTAACTTGTAACCATACTTGTGATCAGAATTTCCATTGCTAAGCAAGGCAATTGTTAAGTGAACTGTGCCCAAATTTTACAGCCTTTTCTGCCGTAGCTGTTAAGCAAATCACTGAAGTTGTTAAATGAGATACAAGGTCATTAAGCAAATCTGACTTCCCCCATTGACTTTGCTTGTTGGAAACTGGCAATCTCATGTCCCCAGGACATTGCAACCTTCATAAATATCTACTGGTTGCCAAGTGCCCAAATGTGACATGGGAATGTTGTAATCATCATAAATGCGAGGAGCCAACTGTAAGGCTCCCCCCCCCCCATTTTTTTAAAATCATGTCCAATGCTGGTTAGTTTTTCAAAATCAACAAACTTCTTACACCTAGTTGGAGCTATTATTAAATTCAGCTTTCTCCAGTAATCATAAGCACGGCTCAAAGGAAAATCATAAACACGAGCATATGAGTTAAGTTGCACATTGCAGGGAGAAGTGGAACTTCCGTATGAGATATCATTTGGGACAGTAGCCCTGGTTTCTTAGAAGGTACCCTTTCTTCTCTGAATGAATGACTGCAATGCTATGTCGTAACACATGAGCCACAACTTGGATCCAGACAGACTGCAGCTGTTTTGCAGCCATGGATGAACAAGAAAGAGATCGGGCAAAGAAAGAAGAGGGGGAAAAAAAACTTGATGAATGGGGCATTACCCTTATTCCTGAGGGAATCTGGTAATTTGCCAAGTTAAAAATCAGCTATTTCAAAGCTCTGCAAAGGCCAGACAAAGCATGAAAGTGCACCCCTGCGGAGGAAATAGATGTACAATAAAATAGCTGTAATTCTTGCCATTTGTGTATGTCACTTTCTTATCCAATCCATGCCTCCAGTTACAGCGAATTTGACTCTACAATTTCAACATGTTTTAGGAATGGCTGACTCATCCAAGCCACATGTAGTCTATTTCAGGAAAAAAAAACCAAAAAGAAATAAATAACATTTTAAAATTCATTTCGAGGAACAAATAAGAAAGGCTGTATAAACTCATTACAGGATTTCTCAGTAGTTAGTGTGGCTGAACATAATTTCTGCATGTTGAAATTACTGTCTAAACAGGATGAGATTTAATAGGAGTTGTAGAAAGACAACTGGAATATCTGAAAGGCAGTGGAATGGAAAAAAATTATCAGTTTACAAATCGGTAAGATATAGTTTTCTGATGTTTATGGATGACCAGTAAAGAATACCAGTCTCTACCAAATGTCTGTGGAGATTCCCAAGCATTCAGGTCATGGTTGTCCCAAAGATGCTTTTTCAAAAAGCAACTGGAGTTTCTTTGTTTTTGCTTGAAGACAGTTTGCTTCTCATGCAAGAAGCTTCTTCAGTTTTTCTTATCCATATTGAAATTCTGGAGCAAAGGAAATAAATTAAAATTAGGTTGCTGACCTGACATTGCCCTTCACTGTAATATGACAATATTTTTATTATTTAACTTTATTTATTCATGTCATTGTCTGTGTTGGAATTTCTGCATTTCAATAGAAGAGAATATATGTAGTTCGGGCTTGAATTAAGGGGTCTTGGGGGCATTCTGAACTTAATTGCTTGTTTGCAAACCTTTCATTACCCAACTAGATAACATCATCAGTGTGAGTGTGTGGAGTTTCCCCCCTGTTTATATACACTAGCTTGCCCTGCCGTTTTGATGGGATTTTGTCCTAATCAAAGAACTACCAATGATATTTTTTGCAGTCCAGGTCTAGGAATTCAATCCCAATGATAATTTTAAAGAAGGCAGAACATGCAAATGAGACAATAATAATACAATCTGATACATTTTTAAAAATCTTGCATGCATATGTTCTTAGACTCTAGCCTCTGGCATGCTATTCAGAAGCCAAGTGTTAATCAGAAATTAATTGCAGAAGTAGTCTTGATGACCTTTAAGGTGACTGTAGAGGTGTCAGTACTTTATTCCATAGATAACTTTAGAGTCAAAGTTATGAGCGACTGAGAGATATGCCTTTCTTTATACACAATCAGCACATATTGTGTAAATCTGTAACCATAATATGTTTATACATTTTAAATAAAACATTAACACATTCAATTTGGCAGATGATTTAGATAGGATGCATTTTGTATAAAATTTGCAGAGTTTTATTTTAAGTATGATAGTTAGGAGAGAAAGCTAGAGGCTGATACACAAGATGTCATTATTCAAAGATCATGCATGCACAATCTCAGGAAAGACTTGTAGAATGCTGCCTTGTCAGCCTGTTCAAACACATTAGGAAGGCTTCTTGAAGTAGACCAGGTGAACAGAAAATGATTGACTAAGAGTCGCTCTGGACATTTTGTGAAGGGTGCAGGAATTTGAACATTAGCATCCTAAGCACCACGTGTTCCCATGTGACTATGCTTTGCTTTACCTGGTAGAGAGAAAAATGCCTTAGATCATTTCACATCTTGCACATTTATTTTTTGCCTAAAGGAAATAGGAAACTAGTTTCGTTCATTAAACTGCTTCTCTTTTTCTTTCCAGTGAGTTTGTTTTTTGGTTGAAAGAAATTGGGGAGATAAGCAAACCAGAAGAAGGGGTCAATCTGGGGCAAGCTCTGTTAGAGAACGGCATCATCCATCATGGTGAGTGTTTTGTATTTTAGCATAAAATTCCATCAGATGTAATAATGTTAAATTAAGTTAAAAGAAGCATAAAAGAAGCCAGATATGTACTAAAGCTAATTGGAGGAGCGTATTTTAACATTTTTATAGATTGCTTTTCATATGCTATAGTTTCCAGAAATAATATAATACTATAATTTAGTGGCCAACATAAATACATGTATATTTGAAAGAGTTCCAAAAACAAACCAGGCAAAGGCCAGGTATGCCACAAAAAGGTTGAGGTAAAAGTTTTCCCTTTCCAGTTATGTTCAATTTTAGGGGGCAGTGCTCATCTTTATTTCTTAGACAAGAGGGCCAGCCAGCATTGTCCGAAGACATTTCTGTGGTCATGTGGCCAGCATGACTATAGGCCAAAGTGCATGGAACCACCACAGCGGTACTGTTAAATTCCAAACAAAGTGGTACCTATTTATTTACTTGCATTTGCTTGGTTTTGAACTGCTCATTGGGCAGGAGCTGAGGCAAGTAATGGGAGTTCAGCCCATTGAGCAGGGCTTGGGTCTCAAATCTGGGCTGTCAGCTGACAAGCTCACCATCTTTAACTGCTGAGCCATCGTACCCCTGAATTTGCAATGGTTAAACAAATTCCAACAAGAACATCTATCATATTACAAGACTCATCTCTATGTTTCTAAACTGGAAACCAAGATGAAGAGAGGAGAGGTTTACGCTTTTGCAATGATGATTCACTATTAGTGGCTCATAACGTTAGAAATATATATTTTTATGGATGGTATTGATACTTACTCAGAATGGTTCTATGAGGGAGATTGCCTGTGTCTAAATATGACAAATTAATTAATTAATTAATTAAAATATTATTTTAATAGTTTTCTGTAATTTAAAGCAAACTGTAATTTAAGATAAACTTTAAGATTAAAGTTCTATTTTAGATTGCAAAATAGAATAATGCATTTAGCATTGTAGTTCTTTATGCATATTCTTCAATAGTAAATTCCATTGTGTCTCATGGAGTTTATCACAAAAATAGGGACAAAAAAATACAGACTAAATATGTATATATGTCTAATTTGAAGAAATACACTAGAAGCTACTTCTAGGTAAGCAATTGTAATAATCTCTTCAAGTCTAGTTTGTGTGACATTACTTCACAAGTGGTAACCTTTAACCAGTGGACAAGCATGTGGCGAATGTGAGGGACAACAGTATTTGTGCTTGTGACAAAATGCTAAAAACTCTGCTGAAATTTAACAGTGCATCATCCAAGAGGACTTCAGTATAATTTAGTATTGCCCAAAGCTTATGCGAATCAATCGAAGTCTTTTTTTGCGATTATTCTGATATATTTAGACACAAGAACTTCAAAATTTAAAAAAAATCAGTCTCACTGATCTCTTCATACATTATGTTTTTGCGTAGAGTGGTAAAATTTTATGGCAAAGCTAAAATAATAGTATATAGCTAACAGTTCAAACCCTACCAGTTTTTCCCTTTGTTTCCTGTGCTGATCAACTATTGTAATAAATTGCTCACATCTTGTGGGTTGCACATTTTTAGATCTAAGAAGCAGATGTTTACATACATATCAAGATGTGTCATTGAGCAAATGAATATGTTGAACAGATGCATTTGCTCACAGAGCCATAATTTGTTTTTCCTCTCAGAATGCCCATGGGTAGCATAATCAAAATCTGATTCTAGTGTGTGAAATAACTCTCCAGCGGTTTGCTGGATGGGCAGGATATTCTCCTTCAACAATGAGGCCCAGAACTTGTTTTTCTCCTGCTGCTTCCCAATAACAGTATCAGTTTCTTGTTTAAGCAGTAGGATTTCCTGCTGCATCCTTCAGGTGTTCAAAGCTGGAAAATTAACTTCATTAAGTTAAGTCATGAGGCATTTTCTTCCTAAAGAATTTGAGTCATCTTAATTCCCGTGCAAACTCCCTGAAACAAATTTTAATGGGGGAGTTCTATTAAATTTGACTGACATTTTTGATAATCTCTTTGTATTAGTAAACCAGAAATGTTTTTTCCCCCTAACAATGTCAGTAGACCAATAGTTGAAGATACTTTCATAAATTGAAATCCTGAGAAGATCCATTTTAGTGCTGGAACCGATAGCATCAGTTCAATGCACTCAATTTTCAAATATGCTCTGATGAAATATTGAGCACAGAAATTAATTAGAATCTAGCCTTTCTTTTAGGCAATATAATAGGAAAAAAGACTTGTCATAGCTGTAATTATGTAATTATATAAAGATATACTACTGAATAATCTCCTTCTGCCACAGCAGACGTTTGGCGTGACAATATTAACAAAGTTGTTGCTTCATTGATTCAACACATCTTCATATTATATGTAATTGTCATAACAACGAAGAACTATTTAACTGATTATCTCTGTGAGCCCTTCATGGAAAGGCACCTCTCAAGCTAATTCAGTGCCATTTTAAAGAGTCTGAAAGATACTGCAATATTGCAGGAAGCTATTATTTGTCAGTGTAGGCTGGTATTGTTGATAGGAGCTCTCCAGGGTTCCCGGCAACGAAAAATCCAGTGTCTTCTGCAGCAAACAGCAAGGAAGCAAAATCTCAATATATACAACTGCCATATACCACGAGCATAATTTATAGCATTTGCATGATTACATTATCATATGAATATTTTAATTTGCCCCTACTTGCCCTCTGTTATAGATTTCCATGAAAGAATCTTCCTCATACTTTTTACCTCTGATTGTTTTCTAAGTGAAAATTTCAGAGTTTGGATCTGAATCTTTCACATATAAACTGTGTGCTTTATCACTAAACTGCGATCCCATTGCTATTGGTTATTGGATTATATCCAGTAATGGCTTTACCTTAATGCAAAAATACACTGTCTGATCCCCCGGGGCAATCTAGTATCAAGCTCACTAAGTAGATCAAAACAGGAAATCAACTTCTCATAAAGGCTAAAACTGCTTTTATTGAGATTAGCTATAACAGAATCTTGCAGGTCTGACATTGCTGTATCTCCTCCTCCTTCTTATACTTCTGTGAATTAGGGAGGCCTGTGTAACTTAGGTCATCTTGATCTGGATTTTAAAAATATTCCAGCCCTTTTTGCCTAAGTAATTATTCTCACATATTTCCATCAACACCAGCCTTCTTACTTTTTCCATCTAGAAAACATTGGCTGTGGTCTCCAGTTGGATCCACATTGCTGACTGCATTCTCCCCCGCCTAAGCTATTTCTTTTTTTCCCCTCCCGACGATCAGCTGTTCCAATGATCAGTTGTGCCAGAATCCCCCTCGCTGTCTTACTGCTTAGCCCAAAAGGCTTCCTTGAGGCCCAGGAGGTAAAAAGGTGTATGGGGGGTGCACACTCTGTTGTTTTTTTTTTTTTTGCCTTCCTGGGCCCCAGGGAAGCCTTCTGGGAGCAAAAATGCCCCCCTGGAAGCTTCCCTGAGGCCCAAAAACAGAGTGAATGGGGGTGCTGCGCGGCCCCTCTGTGCTCCTTTTTATGCCTTCCTGGTTTCCAGGGAAGCCTTCTGGGAGCAAAAATGTTCCCTCAGGAGGCTTCCCTGAGGCCCAGGAGGCCCAAAAATGGAGGGCAGGGGGGTGCTGCAAAAAAAAAAGAAAGAAGCTATGCCCACCCAGTCACATGGCCACACCCACCTAGCCATGCCTACCTAGCCACACCAACCTAGCTACGACCCACAGAACTGGTTAAAAAACTTGAATCCCACCTCTGAGAAAAGTAAATTGTTAAATACACGAATGGAGAGCAATTTTATTATTATTTTAAATACAAATTACTAATATCACTTTTATTTTGGCTACAGAAAATTTTGCAAGTAGAATTCTAGTAATATTCCCCAAGGATGTGAACAGTTATAGTGAGTCTAGATGCAATGATCTGTGCAAGCAGAAATATGTTTTGCTACGAAAGAACTACAATTTAATACAATCTTTTGTGTTTGTGCATAGGTGGTCCTCATTTAATGATCACCCATTCAGCATCCAATCAAACTTGTGATGTCACTGAATGAGTGGTAGTTATGACCAGTCCTTTAGGTTTTAGCCAACACAGTTCCCCCACTGTCATGGCACTTGACAACTAGCCTGGATTTCTGACTGTTGCAGTGTCCCATAGTTACCTAATCATGATTTGTGATCTTTCTTGCTAGTGCCCTACAAGCAAAGTCAATGGGGAAACCAGCAGGAAGTCAAAAATTCCAATCTTGTGAGATCCTTGCTTAATTACTCATGCAGTCCTCACTTAACAATGGTAAAACGGGACTCCAGGTACTGTCGCTGCTAAGCAGGGTGATTATGTGGTGTCACATGTTATGATCACATCTCTGTCAACCCTCGAAACAACTTCTGCTGTGCTTACTTTCATTTCATTTCTCAGTTGCCACTCTTGTGGGGTGGGAGTCAGAAGGTATTGGAATGTGGTACCTTAAACTGCTAGACAAAACATTGACCAGAATCAGCATGAGAGCCAAGGTCATAGCAAAAAACATCTGCTGAGACCGAGGGGAAAGCTGCTTGCCGGACTGATTGGTTAATGTGACCTAAGACACCTGAGGCGGGTGGGATGGTTCTATTCTTTTAACTGCACTAAGAGAGCTAGCTTCACTTTTCAACATGCCAATATGATGCATTCAATAAAAGGTCTTTCTAAAAGCCTGACTGAAGTCTCAGAGTTCTGATTTGATTGTGTTCATTACTCGGAACCATGGCAATTTCTTAGTGATGGAAATTCCAGTCCGTATTACCATTGTTAATTGAGAACTCCTGTATTATTTTATGGTAACCAAATCTTGTTCAACAAATCATGGGTTTGGAGGACTTCATGCTAGAGAATGGAAAACAAAAGTTGTTTATTATTCTTGATGGTTCAGTTTCAGATAAGCACCACTTCAAAAATGAACAGGTGATGTACAGATTTCGCTATGATGATGGAACATATAAGCCACGGAGTGAATTAGAAGACATCATGTCTAAGGTATTTTGGGTTTTGCTAAAACTATGGGAAAAGTATGTGTTAGCTTAATAGTATAACATATTTCAGCTATCTAGAACTTATCTTACACTGTTGATTACCTTTTCTTTGTTATATTGAAAAGAATCATTTTCCTTATTCCCACACCAACACTTTCAAACTTTATTTTCTGTAGAAATATGGGGTATGTAAGATATCAGCCAGATTTTTCAACTGGATTTAGCATTTTTATCCACCTATCATCTCCTTCCCCATGACCTGTGATATGCAGATGTTGTTTGATGGCATGAAAGGTGTTTTGCAATTGACTAATATCGATCAATGCAGGTGATGTTCCAGATTTTTTGGAATTGTGCTCAAAACACCTATTACTATTAGTATTATCTTTGCTTTCTTTTGCCTCAATCATTCTACTTCTGTTTGCAGGAATTTTTTTGTGATTACTACTATTATTATAATTAAAATAGCATGTTTTACAGCCAAATTGATTTCATTGTCTATTCCAGTACAGTTGAGTGGAAGACTAGACATAATTAACTTAGTGTCAATTGTGAGAATAAAATAGTTGCTTTAAAGTATTCTAGTTCCAAGAAATTTTGGGGAAATTGTGAAATAAGTAAAATGTTTTTTACTTAAATTTTTCTATTTTATTTTCTATTTATTTTCTATTTATTTTCTATTTTCTATTTTATACTCAGAGGGTGAACTATTATAGTATAAGTCCTTCAGCAAGGCAGCGGGTTACTCAGGCTTACTATTCTTCTTCTGTTTGTGTTTTAGATAATATTTTATCCTGTATTTTAGACTGTAACCTTGTCATTTGCTTTTCTTTGTAGGGTGTAAGGCTCTACTGTCGTCTGCACAGTCTGTACACACCAGTGATAAAGTAAGTCTCACTTCATTTGGAGTTTTCTTCCTTTTGTTATTGAACCAGAAATAAATTGCTGCCTATTTGGGATAACTTGCTTTCCTGCTTAACTATGTTTTCAGTTAGTTAAGACTGTGTGATGTCCTTTTCTACTGTATTGTCTCTTATAGTATAATTTTCTAAAGACAACGTATCCCTAGCTGTGTTTTTTGAAAGACATTCTAATATTTATTCTTAAAAACATAACCTAAGATTCTCTTAGGAGGAAGAACAAACATGCAGTATATAATTACATCAACTAGCAAGTGAACTGGAAAATAATTTTAGCTTAATGTTTAATCGTATGTTTTATAATTAAAATATCGTATGTTTTAACACAATCTGCTCTTTTTGTATACTGAAATATGATTGGATGATTCTCTGTTTTAGCTTTCAGATGGTCACTATTGGTTGGTTAAATAACAGATATGTTTCACTGGTTACATGAAGTAAAGTAGTCTGTTTAAAAAGGGGATTGGAATCCCAGTTTCTGAAGCTGATCCTTAGCTTCTCAATTTTCTTGGAATGCAGTAACTTAAATGACCATTGCTTGTCATGTTAATACATTTTGGTCCATAGAAGCATCTTATAAATCATAGTTCTGCTTAGTTGAAAATTGTCTCCTAGTGGACAACAGAACAGAAGAAAGGAGTGATGCTTTAAAATGTGTGAATGAATGTGTGTGTGTATTGCCTATACTTGTGCATTTGTTTAAAAATAATTCAAACAGTCAAACAAAAAGAAATAATCAATTAATCAAGGAAGTGACCCCTGACTCTGATGCATGGAATTAGTAGTGGTATTTTGATGACCTCAGATTCAGCATTGTGGGAGAACGAGTCACAGAATCTGAGGACAGAGTTAAAAGAGGGATATGCCTAAAATCCTTATTGTAGCCACAAGTGAACTAAGTTCAACTTCCCTTGAATTCCTTTGACTGTTATCTATAACTTCAAGCAGGTGCTAATTACTTGAGAAGATTCCTGTACATTTGGCATGATTAGCAATAAATCAGTTTAATTGCACTGTCACAAGTGGATCTGACAATTAGCAACAAAAACTTGTATATTATCATTGCCAATTTTGAAAGGATGAGTGGAAAATAAGGTAAAACATGATTGGGGATAATTCCAATATGATTGGTTCCCTAAAGAAATATATAGCTTTCTGCTGACACATAATAAAGGTATAGCAAACATACATAACATTTCTGTTTCAAAGAATTTTATAATAAAGTGAGGTAAAATGTATAAGATGGAGATCATGATAAGGTTTGAGAGATAAAGGTGCTTTTGATCAAATTTGACTCCCTCTGGCTAGTTCAAAAGAACTGCCATAATTAAATGTATTGATAATATAGCAGTATTTTACAATTTAGTAGCTTCCAGATGGAATATGCTTGTCATTTTAAGAATTGCCAGCCATCATGGTCAGATGGAATTCTGGAAATTACAGTCCCATAATGTAGAGGAAACTAGATTTGAAAAGTCTGTATGAGCCCTTCAGGGTAGATCAGATTCAGAAACCAATGTTCTGTGGGTCAGAACTACTTTAATTGTAATAGCAATAGTAACAGGATGTTGCACGTCTAAATCTGCTTCTCTCCTCCCTCCCATTATTTTTGTGTGAACAAACAAGCAGCTTGTCTGAGACACTGTTTTACTTTTTTGGCCTGGACTCAAGCCTCTTTTATCTGACAGTTTCCTTGGTAGCAGCTCTTCTTCCTATCATTCCAATCTATCCCTCTCCTGTTCACTGTGCAATCAAATATTTAAACTATAAACTGCAGAAAATCTAGAGAGAAGTGGTTTTCTTTCTATCAATTCTCTCCCAGATTAAAATGTGGCATTGACTTTTTGAAGATGTGTTTGGCCAACCATAATTTTTAACTATCTTCTAATTTTCTTTTCTGACATAGAGATAGAGATTATCACTTGAAGACATACAAATCAGTGATCCCAGCAAATAAACTAGTGGATTGGTTGATTGCTCAGGTAATGAGATCATACAGATATTGATGTTTCTCTCTCTTTTTTTGCATTCAGCCTCAACTCTTTCACATTTTGCAATGTTATTCCATAAAATTATTTCATACAGTATTAAAATATAAACTGTTGGAGCCTTTGGAGTTCAACCTGAAGGACTTCTTTGATATTGTTAATATTGAATTTATCAAACTGGAGATGAAATAAGAACATTCCAGATTTTTATGTTCTAATAACTACATTTTTAGACAAGCTTAATTTAGATGGGCGCATAACAATTCTAAAATAACCTCCAGGTGCCTTATTATTCCATTGATATTGCATGGACTTGACTGTGACAATAGTAAAAAGATTTGAGATTCTAGTCCTTTAATACCCTGTGCTGACACTAACTACCTAGATGCCTTCAAAAAGCTTACAATCAAGATAGGAATCCAAATACAGATGTTGGTATCCAGAAACTGCTCTTGTGAAAGGAAAAAAAATGTCAGATCTGTTATCAAAACACTGTTTAAATAGCTTTGTATTGCAGAATAGTTTCTTGTGGTCTGGCAAAAAATGTCCCTGTTTAATTCTATATTAGGATACCAGAAGTAGGCCTGGTTTGGCTTCCATTTATGCTTAGATTCAACTGTGTAAAATTCTTTATCTGAACATTGAGAAGTGGTCTTCCTACTTTATTACGGCCATTCTTTTTCCATTTGTATTATATCTCCAATTATGAGGAGAGCATTTGAGAAGGTACAGATTCAGTCAACTCCTTACTTGAATGTCACTGTTTTGCAAGAGGTAATATGTCACTCTAAATTGCATTATTAGCCATGTTTATGTCATTGTTTATATGTGCTATTTCTGTAAACAAAGTAGATTCCCAAAGGCTAGTTTAAGAGCAGTGTCAAGCAGATGTCACTTTACAACTCATCTGGGGGTAAAATTAAATGGTAGTATTTATAAATTCACTGTAATAATGTTCTAAGCAAAGAAGCCATTTGGCAGGATGTTAAAATGGGAAAAGGGCATGTTAGGGCATATAAATAATATTGCAATTAAAAAGTTGTGAAATAGTGTTGATCAGCATTTCCACCTCTGAACACTTAGCCCATTAAAAAAGGAATTTGCTTATTCTGCACTGATAGTGTATGCAAATTAAAATAGTTTGAAACTGCTGTGTACATATTGTCTAAATTGTGCAATGCAGTCACAGGTTTAAATGGTTTCTGAAATGTTTCTCAACTTTGGCAAACATGAAGATATATGAACTCCATGACTCCTGAATTCTATGTTGGTTGGGGAATTCTGGGACTTGAAGTCCACATATTTTCAAGTTGCCAAGTTGAGAAACACTGTATTAGAGTTACCAGATTTGAGCTGCAGAAATCCACAAGTGCCTAGTGCCTTTCATCTAGAAAAGTTTTGCTATTCATGTCCAATTAGTACCTTATTTTTGATGCCATGCCCAGGGATAAAAACAGAGATGGAAGGTATCAAGTTGCTTTGTTTCCTTTTTAATCCTGGTATAAAATGAAAAAGGAAACAAAAAGCGCAGAGCAAAGCAACTACTTTAGAGACAAAAGGTAAGCAAAACGAAAGCCTTATTTACCATTCTTTTTCTGAGATCATAAGGAAAAGGCTAGAAAGAGTATTGATAATTATAACAGTTACTTGAGAGTTTTGGTGCACATAATAGTGTCATCTTAAAAGTATTATGTACTCTAGACTTACTAAAGAACTGTTTAGTAGTTTTCACAAGGCTCAGTCTTTGTCTTGCTTGGTTTATTGTCTGGGTATGAATGAGTTGCTAAGCCAAATGAATCTACTTTATCCTATTGCTATTGAAAGTTTTTGGCCATAATTTATCCGGCATGTATATAGTTGGAAACCATGGAGATTTGCCATGTATAGACCAGGAAGTAGAGCAGAAGTGCTGTGTATTCCAACCCCTTGCTTAGCAGACAGAGTTAGTCGTCTCCTAATGTCTTACCTCCTTTGTTCCTTTCTATATTAAGTTTGCTGGGCAAAGTTCTCTAATGAAAAGAAAGGAATTTTCAAAACTCATGAATAAGCCTTCCCTCCAAACCATTGATTAGTTGACTTAGGAATCCAAGGAAGGAAAGGATTTCAAGCCAAGGGCACCGTACCATATTTTTCCATCCATAAGATGCCCCCCATGGATAGGATGCCCCCAATTTTCATACCCAAAATTCAGAAATCAATATTTTAAACATTAAATAGAAGACATTTATTTTGCAGACTGAGACATTCGCTTACCATTACCAGTATTTTTTTTTTTTGGTTTTTGACATTTTTATGGGCTCAGAACATTCCGACAGTATCGGTCCCTGTCGCACGTGGCCACAGGCTACAGGTCTCCACATCGTCAGCTGACATCAATTATGTAAGGCTCATGATTGGAGGAAACCGGTTAGCTTGTCTCTGCAATCGGAAGTTTTGCTCATGAAGCTAGTTTGCAGAGATAAAGTACTGGCAGTTTTGCAACCCCGGTTCTCCTCCCCCCCCCCCCCCCAGGTGTATAAGACACCTCTCCATTTTTTAGGAGAAGTTTTGAGGAGACGTATCGTCTTATACACAGAAAAATACGGTACTTATGAATAGCGATGTTACTGACTGTTCCAATAAGAAATTGGGCATTTTAGAGTGGGCCAGGAATTGCAACTATGCAGTATCCATGAGCATTGTTTCTGGTATGATTGAGGAATGAGAAAACATCTTCAAGTTTAAGTGGAACAGAGGGGAAATGTATTCCAGTGGGAGTTATCTTTTGGTAAAGAGAGGAAACTACACTAATAAACTTAAAATTGCCCAATTCTTGTTGGAGAGGCTCATGTGAGCTGCTTGCCATATGGAACCGAGCCTCTATAGTTCCATTCCAAGTGGCCACCCACACAAGTGGTTGAGTAGATAAAATGGGGATCTGGCACCAAAATAAATGTGTTTCTTTTTTTCTTTTTTTCCGTCCGCTGTCTTTTTCTCAGCCAAAAACACCTATTACATCATTCCTAGAAATATTAGCCTGAATACAATGAAATCATATGACTATATGTATTATTTTAAGCAGCTGTTTCTGGGGCACACAGGGACGATATTTCATATTTCATTGTATTTATACCCTATTAAAACTGATCTTTGAGAACTCTTAAGTAAGGAATCATTATCTCTTCAGTAGGTTCTGGTGCCTCTTATTCTGATATTTTACGGTATGTATAAATCAAAAGCCAGCTATGGCTTTGATTATATTGCTAGTAAAAGAAAGCTTCTTCGTAGAGACAACTGGCTGCAACTGTGTACTGTTAAAAACAGCTCCTTTGTGAGATTCTGTTCTTTGTCCTCTCAAAGCTTGAGGAAGACAAAAGGTACTATATTTAGGAGTGAATGGGATTTAAGTAAGGGGAGTCCTGCTTTAATTACTTCTACTGTTTCTTTTTAAAGACTGCTCTGTTCATTTGGGAACTGGGATCTAGTTGTGGTAGGATTGTTTGAATTACGATTTGCCCAGAGTATAACGTTTATCTTTTCTTGTTACTAGGGAGACTGTCAGACCAGAGAGGAAGCTGTGGCACTGGGAGTTGGGCTCTGTAACAATGGTTTTATGCATCATGGTAAGCCATTAATTCCTCCTTATCCTAATCAATTAACAAGGATTTAACTTTGTTTCTTTGTTTCTTCGTTATAGGTGTCTTAAAATGAGGACTAATAGGTTGAGAAACAGTTTCTTTTCCAAGGCAGTAATTGTCTTGAATCAAACAGTGCATTTGTGATTGGGGTGTTTGGGGCACTGTGCTGGAGTAGCTTTCAAATTTCATTGTATTCATGGAATGCAATGATAATAAAGGTATTCTATTCTGTTCTATTTAACCAATGAACGTGGTCAATTTTATGACAGACTTTAAATCAAGCATACTCTGGATTACATCTCCTGGAATCAGGGTCTTTTTCTATTTTCAAGGCAATAGTAGTTGCTTTCAATAACTATTAAACTGGACTGTTAAGCAACAGACAAGCCCAGTTATTCTAGTTCCTTTCCTCCTGTGTAAAAATAGTAAAATTCTGGTAAAGAATCTTTAGGATGAGAGCTACATTTGAAAAGCAGAAGTGGTCATAGTTTAAACTTGGTGGAGTCAGTGGGTGTCTCCTAGTGAGGGAAGCAGGTTAAAATCTAAATCCTAGGTTTAGTTACTCAAAAGTAGGAGACAAAAGCAACACAGGATCTCACCAGATCCTCTTGGTGATGGGAAAGTATCTTTCTTAAAATTAGATGTTTGGGACAAACTTAAAGAAAAACCTTTACCCATCAGTTCTTCACAAAACAGTCTGCAAATGCTAGATTTCCCTGGTAAAAAATGTATTTGCAAATAAATTACAGTTCAGATGTTTCATTCCATAGAGTCAGCAACAAAGAAGAATTGTAACATTGAGGATGGGAATTATATTCCCACACTCCCTATTCCATCTACCTGTCTGTCTGGATGTGTGCAGGTCACAGATCAGCAAGAAAGTGAGACAAGAGAAACAAGAAAAGAAAATGAAAATCCTTGCATGTTAAATAGATGTTGTACAGAAGAGAGCAATAGAGGTTTTAGCTCAGCTATAATACGATTCATTTAGCTTTGGCTTTATATATTGCATGAACCCAGCTTTTGTGGTATGTAAACCACATTTTATAACTTAATGTGCTTTTCAAGCCCTGCCAACTGAGGTTAAGTAAATGATGGTTAACCAACGTATGGCTTTGTGTGAACCTAGTCCAATCTTTGAAGATTTGAGAATAGTTGTGATAGAAGGCAACCAGTCCATTTGTTGGTTGTTTGAGAAATAATTCTGAAACAGCTACCAGCCTACATAGGGCTTCATGTATTTTTCCATACAAAATGAATAAATGAATCAATAAACAATTAAAAAAATTAAATCACAATTTATTAAGACATATATTTATGGCTGCAAGGACAAATTTAGCACATTTGAAAAGAGATACATTACCAAAGCTATCAGACCAGAACTTAAACTTTAAGAGTACAAAATAATGGCAATAATGGTAACAACATACATTCACAATAGAAATCTAACCTTATTTAAGCAAGAATAACTTCCATAACTGCTGTATATTTTGCAGCAAAGCAAAAATAAATATTTAAAATATGGTTTTAAAGGAAAAAAGAATTAAAATCGGAAACACACAAAACAATTAAAACCCTACAAGCATTGGAGATCACTCTTGGCCAATAAACCCGTTCTGTTCTGTTCTGTTCTGTTCTGTTCTGTTCTGTTCTGTTCTGTTCTATTCTATTCTATTCTATATATACAACAAAGGAAGTTAGAAGCTAATATTTAATAATGTTTAGTAGTTTTTTCTTTTGTATGTTTAACATATTACATCATTAAAATATTTTAATGTACTTTGTGTTTTATTGTTAATATCTCACCACCTGAGCACTAACATGTCCTGAGCACTAACTGTACAATCTAGTGCTGTAATTCCTTATAGATAGCATTTTTTAAAATTCCCAATAGATAGTATTTTTCTGAATCAATCTTTTTCTTCTTTTGCTTCATTTTTCTTATCCTTAAAAATATTTTTAAAATAATTAAAAATATAAACAATAAATAGCATAACCCTCCCTCTAGAACACAAATTCATCAGGGATATTATTAGATAAGAGAAGTATATCCAAGGTTTATCTGCATATTGATGTCTTTCAGTGAGCAGCAAAGGCTCTATGAAATGAAAGGCAATTCTCCCACACACATCACAGTCTTTCTTTCCTTTGTTTGCTATGCAATAAAGTGGAACTATAGGAAGACACAATGGCCTCAGATTATTCTGGCATCTTTTCAGGCAGCTTTAATTAATGTAATTTATTTTCCACTTCTTTTTGTATTCTTGTCCTGATAACTATTGTATTCTGGACATTTGAAGGAAAAATAGGAAAAAGAAACTGATTTAGAAAATATAGAGAGCATTTTCTAGAAAGCCAAATTCTCTATAAAGCCAAATTCTTTGAACCTGCTCCTGAGCATGCTGGCGTTTATTCTCCTACAATGTTCTTTTTGAATGAGCAAAGATACTTCATAAGCATGGCTTTACGCAGCATGCCCTATGTATATTTTAATAATAAACCAAAGGCCCTTCCCCCAGAGAATTGCACTTTATTAATGGGATGGCCACTTACATTGTTTTTGAGGTTATGAGACCACTGATCCAGTTTAAAGCTTTCCACTGTGGCCTTAGGCAGGGACATTTCCAATTTATGCTGTGTAACCTAATTTATCAGAGGTGCTGGCAGGCCTTCTGGTGAATCATCTCTATTATTCTAACAACATGTGCAGCCATCCCAGTTTTGATAGTAACAGGAACAAAGTGCAGAGGAACTACATGGATACCTGCCCTAAAGGTTTTAAGGCATCAGAACAGACATCAACACAGCCTTGCAGGGCTGTGGATATTACCATTTAACTGGTGCTGGACTTGAATGCTGGGAACTGAACCTTCTCTGTCCTTTGTTTAAATTTGGTTCCATTTCCCTCATTAGATTGTTTTGGACTCTAGGCATAAACTTATTATTTTTCATTTATTCAGACTTCTGGTTTTCCCCAAGCTTATTGATGGTGCTCTTTGGGATGACTGAGCACCCATATTTATTGCTGAACATGAGAACTAGAGAAAATAAATTGGACCTATTCTATGTCAACCTATTGTGATTTACCATAAGAGGAGTTAGATTATAGTCCCCATAATTTGCAGGTCTAAAGATTAGGACAGTGACAGTTCAGGTTTTGTCCAGCTTTGGAAATGCTACTATTATGTTTAATGAATGGAATGTCTAATGAAATAACTGCAAGAAGGGGCAATATGGTACTTATTTTCAAGTCAAACTCTTGGCCACCAAATGGCAATTTTGGCAAGTCCATGCAATATGTCTATGGAGAGTCTCAATCATCCAGTTCATGGTTGTCCCACAGGTGCTTTTCTGAAAGGCAAGTGGGCTTCTTGCAATATATTTCAGACATGTTTTCTATTGATGTCTCCTTAGGTCTAAGAGAGAGTGACTGGCCCAAGTTAGCTTCATGCCTAAGGCAGGAGTAGAACACATAGTTTCAGGCCCAGTGTCTATAACCACTATACCAAACTGACTCTCCCTATATGATACAGAAATTTTGTTAGGACCAGTTCAGTAAATCTGAGTAAACTATAAAAATGGGTAATAAGCAATGCATCTGCTCATTCCTTTTTATATATTTTCATAGATAATACTATTTCTGAAGCTATTCGTATATGACCTCCATATTCAAACTGGGCTGATGCATTTCAGACAAGTAAATGATTTTAAAAGTGCTGAAGGAGAAGAGCTGCAGCTGAGGAGTAAATTTAGCACTATGTCCATTTTCAGTTTTTCATGGAATGGGCTGGTCTTTGGAAGCCTCACAATGGACCTATGTTTATCAATTGGAATTTTTCCAAGCCATGGATGAAAAGCAGCCGTTGTTTTGTGTCCTTCCTTGGATATTTTAGATTCTGTGTCAGCAGTGTGAAAGCCAGGCTCCTGGCTAGCTGCAGGGACACAGTGTCAGACATGATGCAAAGAGAACAACTTTTTCCCATTGGGGGCTAGCAGGACACAAACCATCAATTTATAGAGTTTGAAAATGGGGAGAGAGATAAGGGAAGGGAAGGAACTGATTTAAGCCAAAAACTTGCTTTGAACATTGTGTTTATGTTGGAGGAATCCTGTTAATTTCACACTGAGGTTTTCTCTATAACTACAGTGTCAATTGTCTATTTTCCAGAAAGAAACATTGTTAATTTGATTTGATTTTTTTCAAAAAAAAATTTTTTTTCCACCCAGATAAGACTCAGGATGTAACGTAATGCCTTTCAAAGTAAAATGACCCGGTTCATGGACAAAACCCAAAATTTAGCACCCAACCCCAAACACTTAAGGTGGACTGAAGACTCTTTAGAAACAATACATAGCTATATGATGTTCCTGTTGGGGATTTGTTCATAGACCATTACTTTAAGATTGCAGTGGCTAAGATTAATTTAACTTGTAGATTTCATGTAGAAGTATGAAAATAATGGCATGTTTTCCTGCTTCCCACTTTTTGGTCTCAAGTCCTGGAGAAGAGTGAATTCAGAGATGAATCTCAGTACTTCCGTTTTCATGCCGATGAAGAGATGGAAGGTACAAATTCCAAGAGTAAGCCTCTGCGAAATGACTTCAAGCTCACTGAAAACATCTTAGCTAAAAGTTTGCTGGTAAGAAAAATCAATCCAGACAAATGTATTCAATTCTAACAAAAAATCTTGTAATTCTGACACACTGTGTGCCAATTAATCTGTTGTAAATACAAAAATCTCATCTCTGGGCTCTGCTAGAGAGAGATTTTCAACTGCATATCTCTCTAAGGAAAAAAAAATGGAATTGTTATTTTGCATAAGGTAAGGGCTTCACTGCAGAAGCCAAGAACAATTGTCCCACAGAGGAAAAAAAATGGATCACTTGGTCTGTGGGAATTGACATAGGAGACCTGGTCATGGGAAAAGCCAGAAATTAACTTGTGGATCTGATTAAATTTCCTATCGCTGTGGTTTAGTCATAAAGAAGCAATGACAGTTATAGACAACATATGCCACTGATAGTTGACTCCTAATATCTAAACTAGCTTATCTAAAACAACAGTTAACTTACTTTCTTTTTTTTTTCTAAACCAGGCCATTAGCACCTGCATAAATTTGTTAGATATGAACTAGCTTGTACAACAATGCATGGTGCTTTAAGATGGAGATTCCTCAAATTTATAAATAGACTTTTATTAAAAGTTATAACTACTGAGCGATGATTCTTCAGTTGGATGAAATATTATTCTACAATTCTTCTGAATTTAATGAGAAGCTATATAATATAGAAATAAATATTTGCATTAACTAGCTGAGATTGTATTTAACGCTAACTCTGTGGAACTTTGTTTTAGATTTGAACGGAGTTTAAAATCAAAGGTTATTTATGCTGGAATTGTTTTGTATTAAGTACATCACCAGTATATCATACTTAAAAAATATTTTGCTCTGGTTAACATCCCAACAATGCAGGTTTGCTGAGTTTTTTTCCACATGAATTCTGTTGAATTATAGCCATACTTTTGGGAAAAGAACAAAACAAGTCATTTGGTCCATTTTCAAACAATTCTGAAATTTTCCCAAATAAAAATCAAGTTGATGAGTTTCCTCATTAGATCCAATTGACTGTAGAATTTAACAACTAGTAACTACCATTTGTTCAGCATCATTGTAATTCTGAACAGTTGCTAACAAATGGTTGTTAAGTGAGGATACCTGTAATTATTTTCCAGGGAAGAACAGTCCTTCATCCAAAGATCTTAGCTTTAAAAAAGGCTTTTGCAGGAAGTGATGTTTTCTGATATAATTTGGATGAAGTATCCTAATCCTTAATTTGATTAAGACCTTGTACAAACATGAAATTATCATGCCTACGATTAGTTTAGCTTTCAGCATCTTTATCTTTTATCTGATTTGTATGCCAGTCACTGCCTTGAAGGCATCAATTATACATACTGAGCTGAAACAAGAAGCAATTGAAACTTTGCATTTCTACTAGTATGCAGCTTTCCTTAACAAATAATCACTTCAGTGAAAAAATCTCCATCATTCAGGAAAAAACAAATAAGTAAAACTATATTATTAAAGGCTAAAGAAAAATATGATTATCTTCCAAGTTTTTAGTTTACTAATTTTGTAATGGAAAGTAATGGAAAGAAATGGAGAATATTTTGTCTTCACTTGGCAGAATTGTTGGGGGGAAAAATGAATTGAAATAGGAAAACTATTTGGAACCAAATAGATTGTTTGTTTTGCAAAAAACAAGCAAACTCTTGTGTGTTAAAGATTTTTTTTTTAATGTTGTTCCAAGGTTCTTCCAGAAGAGGATGACTATGGATTTGACATAGAAGAAAAGAACAAAGTCATTGTGGTAAAATCTGTTCGTCGGGGTTCACATGCAGAGGTAAGCACTTCTGAATTGTAACTATTTCCTCCTAAATAAATCTGCAGAGTTTCATATGTTTTTAAAAATGATAAAACATGTCACACCTTCTATAATGCCTCATTCATTAAATTGCCTTGGTGTACTGAAAAGTTTTGCACCTTTGGATCTAGCATTTTTGTGGAAAAATTCAGTACACTGCTCTCAATTTAGTTCACTCCAGATATGTTGGGGCTAAAATTCTATTCATTTCCCAAACACTAAGCCTTCATATCTGAAGGGATATCAAGTTATGAAAATTGGTTGAAGTGATCAATAAAAGCCCAAAATAATGTACTTTTTTGCAAATGTGAAGCTATTTGCTATAAATCTGTGTTTCGATCTTCAGTCATTGAAAGTGATTTGCCTTTTGTTCTCTGCAGCATAGTGATTAATATCTTAGGGGAAAGGATTAAGATCAGGAAACGAGAATCAAATGAAAGAGTTAACTCCAAAATTCATCTACAGAGCTATTTCCTCATTAAATGAATAGCCTTCATAATTGCTTTGAAGTTAAAAAGAAAATGCTGCAAGAGTTCCTGATCACTAGCTTTCCCTGAAATGTTAAGAAAATTAAGAAAAAAAGGTGTGTCAATTGGAAATTAAAATACTATATATGGTATTAGTAATCATTTTCTGATTATCAGAACACTGATAATTGAGAATATACATGCATGTTGACATAAGAAAGGCTCCCTTGGATCAAATTCAACTCTTGATTATTATATCGACATGTTTATGTACCATAGTTACTTAAACAACAGTGCAGAACTGATTGGCAATTGTTCTCTTCTATTCTCTTCAACTTTTCAATCTAGTCTCCCAACTATAAGATTGCCCAATGATCTATCAAATAGCAGGTCTGATCTGCTTATCTTTTGAAGTTCAGACAAGATCAGCAAAGTGCTGACACCTGCTGGACTTACATTGAAATGGTGGAAAACAAAAGTATGGGATGAAATTTAAGGGGAAGTGTGTGTTAAATGTCTCAGCAAGTAAGATCATGAGATGAGATGAGATGAGATGAGATGAGATGAGATGCGAGCATGTATGTGTGATGTTCATTGAAGAGACAATAAAGGTGGAAAAAATAAGCCCTCTTTGATACCAGCACTACTACACAATAAGTGAACTTCTGCAGTGAAACTCTGGTCTAGCTGTATATTTGTTTATTTCATATCCTCAAATTGCTCAGTAAACCAAGGAGTGTCGTGGGCTGCCTATAATCCAAGGAAGGACTCAGATGTTATGCCAATATACAAAATACACATTACCAAATAACAGAGTTGAAAATTATTTGTTTGACTCTCTTGAAATAATGTTTTTTAACTAATCTAATCATTTCAAATGCTGAGCTAAACCCTAGGTAGATCCTCTCCTTGCAAAGGTTACTTGACTTTAGCTCCCATTGGCCTCTCGCTAAAAAGTATCTGGTTTGCAAGAGATGATTAGGTGATGAGATGAATTATTCTCATGTAGAAGGAAGGAATTGATGGATGGTTATCTTTTCATTTGCTGAGCATTTCCAGACCTGCTTAGTTTTTCAAGGGTGACAATCTGCCTCCCAAGCAGCTTGTGTAAAATGATTGTGCTTGTTCACATTCTACAACCTATTATCCTGTAGAGAGACTGAATTACAATTCCTATCTCTAGACACTGGCCACGCTGAGTGGAAATGGACTTCAATCCATCTAGAGGTCATTTGGCTGGAGAAGATTGTGCTTAATTATCTATTTTGTCATGATTGATGGTATCTGTTTAGAAGGTATTTTAATAGCTGAACTTCTCAATAAATTTCATAGGACAGTCACCTATTAAAAGGATTTTGTTGGGGACATAAAGACTATAGTTGCACACAATTTGGCAATTGTGTTTTTTAAGCAGGTTTAAAAAACATTCCAAAAATCTTTTTGCTTCCTTTCCTTAAATTTTTGCTATGAACCATTGGCTCAATTTCCATGACTTGAAATCTTGTGACAATAATATTTTATTCAATTCATTAATTGTCTTTTGATATTACAAAGCATCAAGCAAAAGTACCAGCTAAATGGGTATAAATCATTGGCTAAAATTTCTGATGCTCTCCAGGTTGAAGACTGGGAGCTATAAAATCTTGGTGATATTTATGGGATTGTAAAATCTTTCATATTTATGGGATTGTAAAATGCCATATTAAATAGTGTTTATTGACATTATATGACTAATAAGAGAAATAAGATATGGACTCATTTATATAGTATTTTGTACTTCAAGCAATTCAAAAAACATATTTCAAGTCCAGTAGAAATTAGGGAAAATATAGGTGGTTGCATAATTGCATATTATATTCTGGAGTTTTGCATAACTGTGGTTATGGTAACCATGAGCTAGGAATTTATTTATGACTGAGAAAATTTTTAGGAATGTGGGTATTTTTTCTCTAAAAATTCCAAAATTCTTTAAAATACTTGATCATTGTTGATATCAAATATTACATTTTAAAACATACTCCACATAGAATTCATACAGCTCTGAAGTTAATTGAAGCAATTTTCTGAGAAATTAAATAAGATGTAAGCATATGATTGGCATGGAATTCTATTTGTGTAGAAAGGGAAACCTTTTAATAATAAACATAATTCTTATTTATAGAAGAAAAGTCACACAAAATATTATGTATGTCATAAGAATGAATATTCTTCCAATAAGACTTCAAAAGGGGATAGTTTTCCCGGTAACTTTTCTGTAGATCTCTAGAAAAAAAAATCCATGCAAATTTAGTGCTCTTTCTGTTTATGTATATATTATTCTAAATGAGCTTACCCACAAAAATATAAATTGGCATTGGTCTTGGGGTAGCCACTATTTATTTCATTAATTTATGTGCAATATTAATATATGCCCGTGTGTGTGTGTGTGTGTGTGTGTGAGAGAGAGAGAGAGAGAGAGAGAGAGAGAGAGAGAGAGAGAGAGAGAGAGAGAGAGAGACTGGGACACTGCAACTGTCAAACATATGCTGGCTACCAAACACCTAAATTTTGATCATGTGACCATGGGGATGCTGCAACAATTAAGTCTTTTTTTTCTGGTGCCGTTGAAATTTTGAACATCCATTAAACAAATGGACTACCTGTAAGCTACAGTAGACAGATTTTCTTGTAACCTAAACTCCTATGAGATGTTCAATCCAAACCCCCCTCTTTTTTAATTCATTTGCTTAGTGTGTTGAGAAAGTGCAGTCATTTATTTAAGAGAGACTGAGTGGCCCAAAGTCACTTAGATTTAGGATTTGATGCTTAAGATGGGACTAGAACTCACAATCTCCTACTTCATAGGCAGCACTTTAGCCACTATACAAAACTGGCTGTCTACAGCAAGCATCTCCAACCTTGGCTACTTTAAGACTTGTGGACTTCAATTCCCAGAATTCCTCAGCCAGCTTTGCTGGCTGAGGAATTCTGGGAGTTGAGGTCCACAAGTGTTAAAATGGCCAAGGTTGGAGACCCCTGGTCTACAGTATATATGAATATAGAATAGAACAAAATAACAGAGTTGAAAGGGACCTTGGAGGTCTTCTAGTCCAGCCCCCTGCTCAGGCAGGAAACCCTTATACCATTTCAGACAAATGGTTGTCCAATCTCTTCTTAAAAACCCCCAGTGTTGGAGCACCCACAGTTTCCGGACACAAGTCGTTCCACTGATTAATTGTTCTAACTGTCAGGAAATTTCTCTTTAGTTCTAGGTTGCTTCTCTTCTTGATTGGTTTCCATCCATTGCTTCTATTGGAGAATAGCTTGACTCCATCTTCTTTGTGGCAATCCCTATATAATACAGTACAATACCAATAAAATACAAACACAAATACAGCATAAACCGCAGCAGATTCTGTTCTGAGTTACGTTTCCTTTCGCTAGTATCATCAATAACAATTAGTAGTAGTTACATTTATAAATTTCATTTATAAAATTCTTTAGTATGGTCAAAATAATTTATAATTTTTACTAATGATTCAATATTTGCAATAACATAATGGAACATTATTACTAACCTTATACTCCAATTAGGTGCTGAAGCCCATGAGAAGTCAGTTACTAAATTTATGGGGAGGGAAAAAAATGTCCCAATCCAAAACTGGATTACTCCTAATTCTTCTCAAATAATCTAGAAACCTCTTTCCCTGGAAGCTGAATACCTTTGTACCCTTTTCAGGCTTCTGCAGAATTTTTGGAATCATATTGCCTTGTCAAGTAGATGCTTTCAACTCTGGCAAATTGTTAGCTCTGTAGAGGAATGAGTAAGTCTAGTTTGATGGAATTTATTTTGATATTTCATCTGTGCGTGTTTCATACTAAATACAGTCACACACTGTCAAGATGAAGAAAAAAACCAAGGTGTTTCCCCAAAACATGTTTACTTCTCTGCTTTGAGGAAACATTTGACAACCAGCTGTCTGAAAATTAATTTAATTGCATCTAACAGCTTTGATCTATGTCCATGCAAAAGCTCACATAGAAAGCCAACATCCAGCTAACTATACCTGATTATTAGGAATTGAAACAGGGAATACAATAACTATCTCAATTAAATGCATCGTTTTAAATTTGCTGCCACTTTTTGAAATTCCAGTTTGTGGCTAAATTTATTGTATACTTATACATTGCAGCTTATTTATTAAATGTATGGTTGTGCATTGGCTCTTTTGTAAATTGTTGAAAGTTATCTATTGGATTGGTAAGAAGATAGCAATAATTCTGGTAAATCTGATAGAGAGATAAAGATAGATAGATAGATAGATAGATAGATAGATAGATAGATAGATAGA